AAAGAAAAACATGGCTCCGCGTCTTGCCTTTTGTAGCGTTGCAGCTAACACCTACATGCTACAATCCCTAAAGGGATACTCTGGTTTTGTGGAAATGCATATAACCGCAGAAAGAAATAATAGGGTTGTATAAGAGAACATCATATCAGAAAAGCAGAGTAATCAGAGTAACAAAGATTGCTTTACTAAAGTTCTAAAACCCAAACAAATGATATTTAGTTTGCTAAAGCATTGTGTATTATAAACAATTTGTTTTTCCCTAAAACTTTTTTTTACATCTTACTGTTGATCTCCTGCAGCCTATACCAGCCCCTTGTCTACATGCACCTGGTCCAGAATCAACTGAAAGTCACAGGTCTATTCACTAAAGGATGAAGAGTTTGGAGAGGGCAGGAGAACTTAACTGGAAAGTGAGATGAATTGGAGAATTTTTCCAAATCAGCTATTTTGGCCTAGATTGTAAACTTCTGCGTTCTCCAAACTCTTCACAGTTCAGTGAATAGACCTTTCAATGTTCAGGTTGGCTTCCTGACAACGTGCCTGTAAAATGTATATTGGCATGGCAAGCCTTCACCAGAGCCACATGTAACAACACAGAAGCACACAGAAGCACAAATGGGAGAACGTTTTCACCCAATAACAGGACGTGCCTGTGCAAAAAATGTTGTGCCAGGATCACAATGTAATATTTTACTGACATTTTACTGAACGCTGCAGATTGTAAAAGATTAAAAGCAACTTATGAAACGTTATTAACATCTTAGAGCATATAAGAGATTTTAGTGAGTGGGTTTAGATATATGTTAGCACTTTAATTATAGTGGCTATAAGATCAATCCAGTAGATGTAGGAATTGAAGCGTCACACCAAGTAAGTAGTCCAAATATAACTTTATTCCATCAGGGTCCGGGGAACATTCAAGTAGAGTAGCCAGTGCATTTCGTGGGGTACAAAACATACATCCTTTATCAGTGATTATTGAGAGAAATCATGTATGTTGATTACAATCCCTGAAGCCTCAAGGTTGTATTGTGTTATAATGTGAGTACTTCAGGTTTGTCATAAGCTGGTCTGGCAGATGATTTTGGATCAGTCCAGATATTGAATGTGGAAAGCCAGATCTTGTCTACAGAACTAAATTGTACACAAACATTAAAACCACAACATTTAAACTTAACAGTCTAAAACTGGTTTGCACTGCTTGGTATAAAACTGTTGTGGCCATGTATGCTGAGGAAGGCAGTTTGCAAGGCTTGGATGGGGACAGTCTACTATAAAACCCCCATATGCAATCAAACTTTATTGAAAGGTTTCCCTCAATACCAGTGTCAATACAGACATTGGTTAGTTAATATTGTCATGATGACCATTGAAGGGCTTATTCATTTTTAATTCACTTAATTATTTTCATAACATGTTAGATTTGATATTCTTTAGGTTAGGCATCTTCTAGGTTGTAAATGGTATTCCTCAGAAAGTCTACATCTCATTTGCAAACCCTTGCAGAAACTTGCCAGCGTGCACGTCACGTCACTTAGTGTACTGTTTGTCGCTATGGCAGGGGATTTATTTCAGCTTACATTTATCATGTAGGGAATGTATGACAGTATTTATAGACTATAGTTTAGTTTTTACTTATAAGCTATAGCATACATGATAGATGGGTTTTATATTCCATACATGGCCTGGATTAGGACTCTTGAGAGCTCCAGAGTGCAGGGCTTGTGTAAATGGGAAATTGCAGCATGCTTTTAAGTGTACTCAATTTGTATTTGAAATCAGTTTGAGATGCTGCTTTTGAGATCCTTCGCATGTGCTTCTGAACTTCTTCTGACCTTCTTCTTAGTTGGATCAAGCAGGTTTTGCAGTTCCCATGGGGAAAAAGCAAGCCTGAAATGAACAAACGCCTGTGTTCACAATCCCTTGTTAATGACAAAGACTGAAATAAAAACTCCTACATTAAACTCCCATCAAAAAGTCAGATTGAAACTCTTATTCTTTAACCGACATTTTCCAGTGTAAGCTTGATTTAGTTTCCTATGTGCACCACAGGTACGGTGGTTCCTGTCTAACATTTTAATAACTGACTCACAGTATGATCAAATGAACACCCTAAAGAAAAAATGAGCTTTGTTATAAACATAGATGTCTATTCTCAAGTGAACTTTGCTGACTTCAGATTACTCAGCAGTCAATAAAGTGTATAAAGCATTAAATGTAGCTTGGCAGACTTGCAAAGATATAGTGGATATAAAAGTGACACTAAACTCAGGAGTTAAATCTTAAAAATGCATTCAAGTACCTTACCTGTTAACAAAAATGTAACGTATTTGTAGCTTATCACTCTGCTGTAGATCCTCAAATCGTCTCTGAATGGATGCTAACACTGTCCTTCCTTCTGGAGGGTGTTCCCCATGGTCCCTGTGTGTGTTGAAAAGAAGCCACCACTCCAAGCTTGCTCCCATGATACACTATAACTTTAATACAAATTAGTAAACTAAATGTGAGATTGTAGTCAGTCACAGGAGTGAGCTTGAAGCGGTAGCTACTTTACTACACACACAGGGACCATGGGAACAAAAGTAACCACCCTCTAGAAGGAAGGACAGTGTCAGCACAAATTCAGAGATGCTTTGCGTATCTGCAGCCGAGTGACACACAAATGAGATACATTTTGTTAATAGGGCACTTAAATGCTTTTTTAAGGTTTAACTCCTACGTTTGGTGTCACTTTAAATATCACATGTATAAAACATACATCAGACAAATCAAAATGTATTTGCTATATCATATGATAATGCTATATCAGTAACTAATACATTTTATTTTGAAATCCAAACTATGTTACAACTCAAACCCCTCCAGGTTGCTTACACCAGCCATTTGTACCAGGCAAACTAGGACTTTTCTCATCCTGCTTTGGTATCACTTCCCATAAAATGCTTACAGCTGCACTAGCTATATTAATCTGGTGTTTCAATACACCTTTTTTGTATATAGATAAAAATGAACACCCCATCTTGATCCTCTTCTCTGATGTGTGTCACCCCATCCAGGGAGCCTAATCATAGAGTCAAAGTTGTCTTGACTCTACATTTTGTTTTGGTTTGGTGAGTCTGACTTGGCTCTAGGGCATGTTTTTTTGTATATATATGAATATGTAAAAGCAAAATAATCTGTGTATGCATGGTGCTACTTGTGAGAGTACACATATATAGTAAATTCTGCACAAATATATTGATGCCATTTGTTTATTTTCAAGTATTCTGTTATGTAAAGCAGGACTATAGATCCACTCATACATTTAACAGATTGTATCAATTTTGTTTACTCTAAGGCAGGGGCTACATGAACAATTTTTAGTATTTCAGTTGCACTTCAGATGGGACATATAGATCCCTAAAATCTAGGCCAATAGTTTCCAACCAATAAGGGCCCAAGGACAACATTGGTATCCATAAGTCGAGTGGAGGGGCACATCTGAATCAACTTCTGCTATTTCATGTCCAGACTGTATGAAGTGGGAAAGGAACATGCAATAAGATGGCAATGGCCAAATGTTTCATAGTAACACAAAGAAAAGAGATGTACAGTATATAACAGGGGACCTCAAAGCCCCTTCTGCTCACTTATGTACTGTCACTGCATCCCCCTCACACTTCATTGTTGGCATCAGTGGGAGTACAATCATTCCCATTGTTGGTATCAGCAGGAGTAAAAAAAAAAGGCCCATTGTTGGTGTACATGGGAGTAAAATAAGCTCCATCCTTGGTCTCAGTAATCCTATGATTAAACTGGTGTTCAGTATTTATTTACTCAATCACAATCACTCTGCATCTCTGCTCTTTCTCTCTAGTTAAAACCAGAACTCTCCTGTCACAATTGGGGAGAAGATCACATCGTCCAACAGCACAGGGATAATCTGCAGTTCCGACTACTGCCAGTCTGCAGGCCACAAAGAAGGTCCTATGCCGCATGCGAACCATGAACCACTAGTTGGACAGCCCTGGCCTAACCTATACAAGTAGCATGTATTAGAGTTAATTTACACACAATTGGAGCACTGGGTGATCATGCACAATTAATTACCGTAGCTTACACCATAGAGAGCTAATTGTTTCATTTATTTAGCTATCAGTCCCTAATCTTAGCAATTTTAGTAGTGCAGTTGACTTACTACAAATCTTCCTCGTAACTCTAGCCTCAAATAAATATATACTCAAAAGTTACAACTTATAACATAAGCATAATGTTACAGAATCCTAAAACAATGCACTTCATGTTACCTATGTAATTACTGAAAATTATATTTACTTAATTTGGTGTATGGTGTAGTAAGTGCATTAAACAGAGTGGGGAGTCATGAAGGACATTCAAATTATCTGTAAAAAATAAGTCAAGGCAACTGGACTTGCTGTATTTTTCTTGAAGATGTTTCACTGGTTATCCAACCAGCTTTCTCAATTCAGAATGGATTCATTCTGAATTGAGAAAACTGGTTGGATAACCAGTGAAACATCTTCAAGAATGAATGGATTCATTCTGAATTGAGAAAACTGGTTGGATAACCAGTGAAACATCTTCATGAAAAAATACAGCAAGTCCAGTTGCCTTGACTTATTTTTTACAGATATACCATGGCCTGGATGAATGAGAACCTGCACAGACAACATTCAAATTGTTATAATAGACAAAGCAAGCAGGTTTACCTTTCCTTACTCATTTCCTCATCTGTATTATGAGCATTATTATCAGTAGTATGTATACTACCACATGTTAACTAGATGTATCTATTTTTGTAGGATAACAAAATGATAGTATGGCAGGTGCCCTTCAGTTTCTTAAGTATGTGTGCACTAAGGAATAAGGCACAGGTGAAGATGGGGTATGGTGGCATGTGTTCATCTCACAAAATCTCTGAATCTGTATGTAAGAGCTGTTGTTTTAAGTTATTGTACATGTGAGATGGAATATATGTTTGATTATTTTCTATTTTGCAGGAAGTACATGTCATACCACCACCCTTCCTGCGTTGGTACGAACCCCGAGCCTCATGATGCAGCCATCCCTGGATTTAAAACAATTTGTATCATTTCCAATGGATAACAGTCCTAGCATCGGCCTCTTTCCAAACTTTAACACAGTAAGTAGCATTACTCTTTTCATATGTGAAGGACACTTATGATGACTTTCACATTTTTACAAGCTTACTTTTTCATGTTTTAGTTATTTTCAGTTTAGTTAGTTTTCGTTATTTTATTAATGTTGGTCAGACTTACTATACAAATATGTTCTTTTATTGTTTAGTGTCCTCGTTCTCAAGTGGTATCCAGACCGCTAGGCTCCCCCCCCCCCCCACTAGTGCCACTCCCCCTGCACGGGTGCCTTCATCAGCTAGCCAACTGCTGTGGAGGCACCCGTATGTGCATGGTCATGGCCGTGGCCTTGCCCGCAGCCAGCTGTGTGCGTCTATAGAGACAAACACAGCGTGTGTCCGGCCACACCCCAACCCTGCAGTCAGAGCTTGACTAACAGCAGAAGGAGCCTATGGCTCCTCTTCCCTCAGTTCCCTGCCCCGCAACCATGAAGTTCAGAGAAACCCGAATATGTTCTCGGGCGCAGCGGAGGAGATGAGCGGCTGCAGGTAAGTGTGTGAAAAAAACACCCAGCCCTTAATACCACTTTAACAACTGTTTAGGCAAGATATCAGCCATACAGGGAGCTCTTTGTTTTCACTGAATAAGCCAACTCATTGAGCAGTGACACAAAACCACGCAGGGAGAAGAGATTGCATATCTAATCAATAAACGTGGTTTTCCCCATGCATATTTATAATCATGTACTATGCATGGCTTTAATACATGAACACGTATTGAAAACATTATGCACATCAAACTAATGCAGTATATGATATATGCTATCTAAAAAAAAATTGACAGACCATATATTTACTAAGCTCAGCAATGGGTTCTTGTTACTAAAACACCTTTTAATCACATCTACAGGGCTGTTTTTGAGTGTTTAGAAATCCTACTCATATCTGTTGTGCCAGCTAGTTATTTAGAAAACAAACATGGAATAGCAGGCTTCCTCGTAAATGTGCCGTGGGTTGAATTGCAGTGCAGGAGACCGCATGCTAGCAGGGAAGGCCTCTCTCCGTGCAGTTTCAAGTAGGGGAATTGATTTTTTTCTTAACTGGAAAGAGCAAATTGATTTTGGGTTTCATCTCACCAAAAGCTGTTTTCTTATGGATTTAAATCAATGTTTCATCAAGAAGGATGAGTAATATGTTTGCTTAGAGGGGTGCTTGCACCTTTGACTTTAATTGCCAAGGAGGTTTTAGAAAGCTATAATATAAACCTGTATTTAGTGCTTTAAAATGTAAATTGTATTTAATAAAGATTTGTAATGTGTTTACTTAACTACGTGTATTACATAGCTACATTTATTTTTGGTATCTAACAATTGTATCCAGCAATGATGTCATTGTAATTTTTTTAATACATTTCTAAAAGTTTTTGTGCATTCTTTCAGTTGGTATGAAGCTACTGTAAGTGCAGCCTTGTGTTGATTATTATAGATTTCATGTTAATAGCCATTTTGGCTATTAACCATGGGGGCAATTCAGTAAACCATTTGCAACACTTTATTGACACTGGCATTACATTAAAGTGTCCTGCACCTAATTCATAAAAACCTTGGGACAGTTTTGTCAAGTGTTCTGACACCTGCAACAGAACTGTTTTTCCTCTGCACTTTGCTTCTTGGACATGGAACTGTCCAACTGTTGTCAACATTGGGAATAGCACCCTGAGGAATGCCATGAATCTATTGCTGTGGTACTTGCATACTGACAGGAATTGGCACCAGTGAGATGCAAATTCAAATAATGAAAAAAGTTGAAAACAAGTATTTTCTTTTTATAAAATGAGAAATGTCTATGATATAATTCAGTTCTAGCTTACAAATAACTGGAGTTATTTCTTCACAGCCACCAATCAGATCTGAACTTAGGGCAGTTTTGGCTGTAGCAACCAATCAAGTTTCACCTTTCACTTTATGAAAACATTAAAACAGCCTTTTCACTTTTGTGTTAATTTTCTTTTTTCCAGTTTAAGTGAACCAGCCTGGATGTGTTTCTTTACATTTTAAAGTAGCTTATTCTATATCAGTGATATGTCATCTCTGGTCTCTATAGGAAAGCACAGCACAACTCAATGACCAAAATGAGTCTGTGGAATTCATCCTTTCTGATACTAGCTTGCTGACATTAGTTTCCAGTTTTAAAAGGCATGTCCACTTCTCTATGATATAAATGTTTTGCTCTAGTAACTAGGCAGAACTTAGCCAACTGACCTAGTTTGATGCTGGGCTTTAGAGAGTGACCTAAGAATTAAGCACTATTTATTTAGTGTTATTAAACCATGATTACTAAATTATGTATCCTAGAGCAAAAAGACAGCCCCACTAATGCTTCTTAGATGTCTAAATAACAAGAATTAGCTGTATTTAACAGCATTTGTGCGCTACTAACAAAATAATCTGCTACATTAGCATCTAGCGAGTACACCATCTCGCACTTTATATATTTACAAATTATTTTATGGAACATTTCCCATTAAGTAAAAATGATCATTAGAGGTTGTTTAATGCATTCCAGTTTTCATATATCCACATCTTCTATCATAGATTTGAATTAATTAATTCTTTCTACATTTTTATTTGTACCTTGATAAAGTGAGGTTGAATATGAAAGCTGATAAATAGCACTTATTAGCGTAGGTTACAATTCTTCCCAAAATGTGATTTTAAATGAAGCCTTTGTTATACTTCAAAATAATATTTTTAAAATAAATTATAATGAATGTAAATAAACTGTTAATTTTTTTTAAATGTTTGTGTTTTTAAACTGATAAAATCTTTGTTTTACAAAGAATCAATCATTGAATACAGGGTGTACCCTCGCCACTAGATTCAGGGAGCATTATAAGTTTTCTAAAGAGAAAGCACAAGAGAAGTTGTTTACTTTTGGACAGTATCTCTCTGGTGGAAACTTTATACAAGAGCTTCTTAAGAGAGGGAAGGAGGGAAAGGAATAAAGTTGGAGGTGTAATTGCCCATTCTTGTTGAATCGTGTGTAATATTCAGCTTGAGCTATTGAGCTCTGTGAAAAATGCAAGTTTTTTCAGCAAAGAAGATAATGATTGCCCGAATAAAATGTAAAAAGGTTCCTAGATCACCACCTGCTTATAACAGTAAAAAGTATTCATATGCAATATTCCATTTGTATCTAACAGTGCTGCTAGTCCAATTTATGTTCAAAACATAAGAATTTTCTGCTTAAAGTGATATTAAAGTCAAACGGTTTATAAGCTATTTCAAATGCTGATTAAACCATTTACAATAGTTCTATTTATCAATGGTGCTCATTGATGTTTAAAAGTTTTAGTTAGTTTCCAGCAGAATTACCTGGTCCCCTGAGCACTGGTCCTGATATGCTGCTTTAGGGCAGCTCCTTTTCCTTGCAGGGTCCTATGGAGCCACCAATATGTGTGCTGGTTAGATGTGTCTGGATCCACAAACAAAAAGGCACAGCAGGTCAATCAACTGTCCCGACACCCCATGCTACCCGCTCCGCCTTCCTCTTTCCTTACACCCTCCTTCACCCTTCTTCAAACTAGTACATAGAACGTTGCAGGAGACTGTACTTCCCTGTGATCTTGTACTGAACAGGAAGTTCAGAGAAGCCAGGCTCAGAATGTTGGAACCAGCTGTTTAGAAACAGGATGACCGTAAGTGTTTGGTCAAAAGTTTAAAGAAATACTTTGCAGGTCAATGTATATTTGTTTGATCTTAATTCATTACTGAAAAGAAGTTTAATATTACTTTAATCAGGTTTTCTCGGGCTAGTTTGTGGGTCCACCAATGGAACTGTGAATGTTTATGTTTGAAACAACAGAAACAGGTTCATTTAATTGTGTCCTCCGTTAGCGGCTCATACTCACCTTTCCTTCACCTCCCCTCCATTCTGTTTTGAAGCTGGGAGTGAGGAGATATACCTGGTACCTTCTGGTATGGGAAACATGTAACGCATTCCCCTTCTTCTCACATGACAGTACTGCAGCTTGGTCATTGGCCAGTCAGGCAGCCAACATTGTTAAATGGGGTTAGCTTACACAGAGCGTCTCTGCTAGCAAAGTAAAGGGGTGAGGCAAATGCTAGCTGAGTAAATGTAGGTGGTTGGGGATTGGGGTAGCACTCAAATGAACTGGAATTTTGAAAGTTTTTGACTGTTTGATAAGTACAAGTACTGTATGTGTGAGGAATCACATATTATGGACATTTTGTTTGTCAGAATTCAATATGGGGGTTCAGTTTATGTAGACACCGCTGCAGGGTTGCATCTGTGGGGTAATTATGACAAATAATCTTATATTGTTTTGCTATATATTATATATATATATA